CTACGCCTAGTTGATCATGATAATTGCACACATTCTTCTATACTTTGATTTCAACTGTTTTGTTCGTTTGTAAGATATATTGAAAATAAAAGTAGTTTTAATGATAACTAGGGAGACTTCTGCCAATATACCAACAACAGGTTAAGAACCCTACAGCTTTTGACTGGTGCATTTATGCTTTGATATAACAATCGCGCATGTCATTAGAACATTTTGTTTGAGATGGTCAACCAAGCTTATCTAGTAAATCGCTTGGGAGGTAGTTGCCATTAAAATCACAAGGCTGGACTATTTCGTACTTTGTTCTGAAGTGTCTTTGTTGTTTTTTATTATTATCATGAATTATTTGTTCTTGCATGAATTCCGTTGTCCCATTCTTGTCTTATACGTAATGCCCATTTGACTTATTAGTAAAGAACTTCTTCCTCTCAAAAAATGAAAGGTCCTTTCTTCCCTAATCTTAATGAGTTGCGATCTGCTGTTTCCTATTCCGTCTTATCATAACAAAATTCAAAATGGCAGGAATTTATGCTATTTGATAATTGTTGACACTTTAATGGAAGCCGAGTCTCAGAATATGCGATGAAATATTGTCTGTGAAATTGTCTTCGCAACTTGCAGTCGTTTGCAGTAAATATCTCTCTTGTGACAATCGTTATCTGTGAGCGTGGAATAACATCAATATTTAACCTAGAAAGATCATTTTCACTCCGTTCCTTTTATGTAGCAGAATTCGGGATTTCCATGTGACTTAGGTACTAGTATGTAAACTAAGTAAACTTCGTGCTTGGCGTGCATGCGGTGAATTGAGGATAAAGCCCAGTCTGCCTTAGTTTACATTGTCATTATATCACTAATGGCACAACTAATTTTACAAAAATACATTCACCAATAAATATAGTTTTAATATTCGTCTAGTCTTCTACCGCATTGAGAGATTTCATTAATTTATTGGACATTGTCTTTAAAACTCAATACTAGGCCTTTTTTAAGTAATAAATAAATGAAACTTAAAAAAAATTATTTGAAAACATTGGTTCTTTAAGTTTCCATATCAACCTAGATTTTGTTATACATTTGCCAAGTTGATGTTGTTTCCCGTAAATGTTGTGCGTAACGTTTGTTGTAGACCATTTCCCCCTCGTTCTGTACCAGCATTGCCAAACGGCTTGTCAAACTGTGGAATGAGAAACGGTTCTGTTGTATCTAATGCCATCCACAGTCAATTTACTCCTCTTCCAAACTGGTTTGAAGAAAATTCACTATCGAAAATGAGCCTTACGTCGTAAGCTGTTGTCTTTCTTTACTTTCTACAAATGCGATAATATATATTGTATTGTTTATAACCTTAGAAGCCTCCAAACTAGATATTATTCTCGGGATAATTAAACATAGTATTTAAACATTTTGTGCTTTCTGCTAACTGTGCCCTTCAACGAACCATAAGCTAAAGCATAGTTTAGCAGTCGAGTAACATTTTCAATAATTAACAATACAATTATTGTTTGGGTAAAGTGGTCATATTTGTTTCATCGTTGGCTATCAATATTTTATATTATCGAATACTTGAATAATGATCTTTATATTTCACTATTTAAAAATTTCAGGCGCGTGAACAATCCAGCTCCTCGCATTCCCGATCGGCCCAATACGGGGTCTCGTCTCTAGGTTACTAAGTGAGAAATGGAAATACATCTCCTTTCCTCATATGCAAGCATTATCAATCCTAGCACTCAAGTTCTTATACTATCTAAAGTTGTGACCTTCCTCAACATGTATCACCCCATCCAGTATTCACCTATTTTTAGCTCTTCAATACCCTCGATCTCTGTGTATGACTGTGGTTGACCCAAATGCGGTGCAGCATCGCACTTTATTATTTGATCAGATTAGCGCCAGAAGTTTTGTGCTCATATCATGAAACTGTGTTGTCACTCATGTTTATTTATGAATGTTGTTTAATAATAAATTTCAATTGTATTTTCGTTTTAAATTTGGTTCATAAAAATGATGGCATAAAACTAGCACAATGAAGTAGCAGATGAAGGTATTTATTAATATACATATTTAAATCTTTCTGCTGCGTCACGTAGTCAACTAATCATTCTGATTTTCTCAGGTAAATATTGCTTATCCAACGAATGGTACACAAAAGTGCTTGGAGATCGATGATGATCACAAACTCCGCCCGTTCTACGACAAACGTATGGCCACTGAAATGCCAGTGGATTTTCTTGGTAACGAATGGAAGGGATATGTTGTAAAGATCACCGGTGGTAACGACAAACAAGGTTTTCCCATGAAGCAAGGAGTGTTAACCAATGGTCGCGTTCGACTATTGCTATCAAAGGGAAAATGCTACAATCCTCGCAGAAAGGGTACGAGGAAAAGGAAGAGCGTTCGTGGTTGCATTGTCGATAGCAACTTAAGTGCTCTTAACTTGATTGTCACCCGCAAGGGCGAGGCTGATATTCCCGGTCTTACGGACATCAGTATTCCAAGAAGACTTGGCCCTAAGCGGGCTTCGAAGATAAGAAAGCTCTTCAACCTTTCTAAGGAGGATGATGTTCGTCAGTTTGTTGTTAGGAAACCACTCCCCAAAAAAGAAGGTAGATAAACTTGCTAAATTTGTCTTAACTTCTCATTTGCATTTATACGTGATTGCTTTTCTAGGAAAACCGGAAAGATCAAAGGCCCCCAAGATCCAACGCCTTACTACCCCAGTTCGTCTCCAGCGCAAGAGAAGACATCTTGCTCAGAAAAAGAAGCGCATTGCCAAACGTAAGGAAGAAATGGAGAGGTATTCTAAGATGATCTCCGTTCTTCGCAAGCATGCTCGAGATGAAAGGAGACGATCTCGAAGCCGTTCAATGCGCGAATCTAAAACGGCTGCCGAAGAGTAGAATGTTTAGTAAATGGCTTATGCAATTTCTGTAAAATCGAAGGTACCATGTAAGGTTACTTGCGATCTCGAAGCCGTTCAATGCGGGGATCTAAAACGGCTGCCGAAGAGTAGAATGTTTAATAAATGGTCTATGCAATTTACGGAAAACTGTTCTTTTAATATCGTTGCGTATGGGCATTGTTTTTATAAGCAAAAGCTTTAGTTTTGAAAATGTTTTAATGACATTTTTGAGGGTATACGGCGTGTGAAATTACCTACGGCAATCACACATGTCTTGTTTTCTTCCTCGTGTCTCAAGAAGCTGGTTTTCGAAATCTGTTTTTGGCAGGGTTTTTCCCGTGTCAACTGCTACGTTGGATTCTACTCATCCCCATATTCCTGTTCTTGTATCCGAGGTTCTAGAACATCTCAAGCCCGTTGATGGCAAGGTGCATATGCATTTCTATAGGTTATCCTTGTACTTATTTTCCTAATCGCTCGAGGCGGGTGAGATGTTCGTGGGATCTGATATTAATTGTTTAGTATCTTTAGTGCAGTTGGATGTAATAGTAAAAGGGGCAATAACATGCGTCACTATTTTTGGGTTTTGGCGTGGTAAAGGTTTATAGCACAAATTTCCTTAATTTAACTACACTATTGCCTAAGTGGCTTTATAAAATAGAGATATTCCCCGTACGACATAGTGTAAAATGGTTAATTGAGGTAAAAATAAGCTCTGGATTATGTTGAGCATCTCGGTTTCAAATTTAAGGGCGTGGCTCGTTCTTCCATCTCAGCTTAAATCCTTGTAATCTTTCTCTCTTAGTCCGTGCCTATGGGAGCTTGCTGTTTGATTCGATCCCCTTACGTTATGTACCACT